TCCACCACAGCAAAACTCGAAGCACTTCTGTCCTTCAACTTTGTTGCCTTGAATTTGATTTTATTTTACTGGTGACAGTGTGCGGCAACCCATCGTGCTCGTGGCTTTGACGACATGCAACAGTGCAAACTGCCCGGCCGTCCCTTTTCCCCACACGGCTTCCATTTGGGGGGGGGGGGGGGGGGGGGGGGGGGGGGATGTGCGAAGCGAGAGCCGAGGCTTCTTCCTTTCGGTGCCACGCGGCGGCATCCCGGCGACACACGACTCAACCGAAGCGTCTTTCTTGATTCAAATGCCTTTCGTCCGTTTCAGGCCCCGCCCACCCAAACATTTTTTTCGGCCAGGAAAATAGCGCGGCGCAATATTTACGTTCTCAATGCTACAGTAGCTCAATACCATGTCAAAAAGAAATGAAAAGGTTTTTGAATGCGACTCCTCCTGGTCCGCGCCGAGTGCATCTTTGAGCGGGGGTCCCCAACCTTTTCGGGTGTTGCTGTTGGCAAACTTTTTTTTCCTCGCTTTTCAATGGCCGGCGTTAAAGCGGTTACGATCACTGAATTCCCGTTTCAAACGCTCTTCTTCTCCCGTACAACGAACGTCGAGTCAAATAACGCCGCTAACTACGAAGAAATGGACCAATCAGGCGGGGAGAAGTTTTTGTTTTGTTTTGCTCCTCCCTCTTTCCTTCCCGCAGGCCTGAAACGGAGGCGTTTTGCGCGGCGTCGACGGGCTCCTCTCATACCTTGCTCTCCGGGACGCCAAGTCGGACAGCCAGCACCAGACCACGCCCACTATTACAATCATTCCTATGAGGGGGATGGAGAGAACAGGGGGCTCAGACGGATGGATGAAGCTCTGAGGAGGGAATCAAACAAACACAAGGACGGCGGGGGATGGCCGGCGTGAATGAACCGAGGCGTGGATGGAAGGATGCAAATCAGACGTGAATGGCGCGACCGTCTGCGATGGGAAAGGAAAGGGGGCCGGGGGGGGCTCGGCGCTCGCCGACATTCAGAGAAGAAGGACGGCCGCGGGGAGACAGTTTGATGCAACACGCGGACGCCTCGTCACATGCACGCACAAAAAAAAAAAAAGCAGCGATGACACACGGCACGCTAGCGCCAGGTTTCCTTTCCCGCCTCCTTCGTTTTTGGGAGGGGCACGTTGTCCCCCTCCCATCTTCCCGCGGAAAGCCAACCAGTGATAAACATACCGTACGCCCCCATAGCATGAAAGCCACACCGCAGACAGAAGAGACAGTCGGCGCGATTGCGTTCGTGTTCGTCTGCAGTGGCTCCTCGTCGAACGGGAGAGAAGACACAAGCGCTGCGTGCGGTGACAGCGGTTCCCTCGACTTAAGTTGTTCCGTGAGCCGGTCGATGACCGGGACTCTTCTTGCCCGCGCGTGACGACTTTACGATTGTTTTTGTGGGAGGTTGTCGTTTTGGCTCACGACACAAAAAACCCCCTCCTAACTCAAGGGACCACCGTATACCGACTTGGATCTTTTTTTTCAATTCCCGAGTCAAACTTGTGCCACGGTCTACGAAAAGTTGGAAAAGGGAGGTCGCGCGGCCTCACTCACCGGATCGCCGCCAGCCAACTTCTCCAGCTCCGCCTTGCAGCGCCCAAGCTCCTCCTCCAGCTGGCGGCGCTCCCTCTGACTGCCGTCGTAGAGCTCCTGCAGCTCCCGCAGCTCCAACTTCAGGGCGTCGCACTGGAGCAAAGGCGACAGGACGCTCGCTGACTGGAAAAAGGTTGCACGACGGCGCCATCCCGTTTATCGCGAAGGACGCGCGCTCTCGTTTGACCCGTTTCACGTGAGGAAAGCGCACTTTTAAAATACGTCGCAGACCAAGAAACGGCGAGCGGAATACGCATCGAAATCTCCGGACGATCGGCAAGGGGCGGGCCTTGTCGAGCGTTTGAGCGCGATCCGTGGCCGACGGCGGCCTCTGAGCGAGTGCGCTCGTTCTGTTTTGTTGTTCTCACGGCGATCAAAGGGATTTAGATGATGGATTTGGACTCAAGATTTGTTCTTTCTAAATGACACAGTAGGAAGTGAGTGATCTCCTCCGTGAATAATTCTTGGTCGGGTCGTAATCAAAGAAAGGTTTCCCTCCGGGCGTGATCTGCAGCAATCGCGGTCGTTTTTCGCAGCGGGTCACGAATGTACGCCGGTGAGGATCGCTTGACGGTCACGCGTCGCGACGCGCTTTGCGGCCAAATATGCGTTGCTTCGCGCCGGCCTGTTCGGTGTCGGCGCGAAGCCGGCGGTCTCAGAGGCCGAGTGACGCGCTTGTTCAAAGTACGCAACGTGCAACGCCACTCGGTTTGATGTTGAGTTTGACAGCGAGTCCACTCCCAAATCCCAAAGGAGCCCTGACCTCTCTCTGAACCTGCCGGGCCTTCTCCTCGGCCCGCTTCAGCTGCTCGCGGAGCGAGACCACCTCCCCGCCGCCGCCGTTCTTCCGGACGGAGGCGTCCGCCCGGCCCACCGTCATGTAGCTGTCGCTCACAACCTCGTCAGCGGGCGTCTCCGTCCCCTGGCCGCCTTGGGTGCCCGCCTCTTCCTCCTTGGGGGCCAAGTACGCGCTGGGGCTGGGGGGGAGGGCCAAAGGAGAGCGGGTGAGGAGCGCGCTGAGAAGCAGTAAGAACCGAAAGAAACAAAGAAATTGGGCACTGCGCCTACCGGGGTGACACTGGAACGTTTTGGGAGAAGAACGATGAGGATGCCGACTCCCTCCCCCAAACCTCCAAGTTCGCGTGCTCTTTGAATGCGCTTGCCCATTGTCGTCTCTCAAAGTCAAAAGCCGCGCAATTGGCCCAAATGAACGTGCGCGCAAACGACCTTCGCGGCCGACCGCCCCTTGTGCACCGAAGCATTCCAGCTCTTCATTTCTCACCCAAAAAAGTCTCGACGCTCACGATTTGCACTTGAGACTTGGATCCGGACTTCCAAGACTTTCGATCCGGAGGCGACATCACGCCGCGCGGCTCGCACGTCGTGAAGAATCGGCGGAATTTGGCAACAGCCGCCGCACGCTTCAAGCGTCCGGCAGAGTGGGTCGATTTGTCGTCGAGCCGGTTTCAGCGCGCTCAATTGGCTGGAATCCCGCGCGTTCTGTAAATCAATCTAATCCAGCTCGGCCCTTCACCATCGGCATCGCTTGTCGTGTTCTGTTTTTGTTTTGCGTCGCCGTTCCGGCCGGGGCGGAGGGCGTTCCCCCCAGCGGCGCATCCCAATCATCAGACCGCGGAAGGACTTCCGAGGTGGGATGATCGGCCTTGCTCGCGACCTTTGGGCCCGGTGCTGATTTTCGAGACCTTTGTAGATCTCGCTCAATCGGGTGTCTTTTCTTGTTTGGTTCCCGTGGGGCATTTTTCTTGTTTGTCGCGTTGTCCTCGGTGCATATTCAGGTATCTTTTGGCTTTTCTGACGAGTGATTTGGCGTGATTACTTTTCCCGCTTATGATTCCCAGCGTTTTAAGTTGTCCTTTGTCGGTCTTGCGAGCGTATTTTTGCTAATCAACTGTTATTTTGTTGGTCGTCGGCCTTCGCCTGGCCTGCGTTTGTGGGCGCCGCTCCCACTCCGCAGCGGTCCGCAACCTGAACATCGCCGGCCGACGGAACTTGGATGACGGGGTCAACCCGACCGTTTCCCGCATTTCAAATTCATCGGCTCTCAAAGTCCGCATTTTTCCAGGACGGTTGCTCAGGCCAAGCCAAACCGTCCGATTGGCGAAAATCAATCGTCCCAAGCCGTGGTGAGTGGTTTGTGAGTTTTTAGTTTAGGTCAGTCCGAATGTCTGCGGGTGATCTGTGCTTCGCGCTGTGCTTTTTAACACCGGCCGGCATTGTCGCGTCACACGGACGGCGGCGTGGTGGATGAAGTCGGCACGGCAGGCCCGGCCCGGCCCGGCCCGCCGCATCGCAACGCGGCCACCAAACGGGCGTCCGCTGTTGTCGGCTCGCTGTTCCGGAAGGTATATCGCCGTCAGCCGATCCGTCCGCTAAGCGCGGCTGCCGAGCGACCTCTCACCTTGTCCGCTGTCTGCGGAGCAGCTGCAGCCTCTCCGATAGGCGCCGGTTGTCCTCCTTCAGGGCCCGGCACTCCTCCCGCAGGGTCCGGCACTCCCCCTTCAGCGGGTCCGCGTCGCCTGGGTGGGACAGGGCGGCTTCAGGGAGACGGCAAGTCACCGCGTCCGCGTGGCTTCTGATTGTACGCGGGGGGAGCCCGACTAGACTTGAGTCGCCGAGAAATGCGAGAAAAGCACCTGACGTACACTCCCGAATCAATAAATCGGCAACTTGGCCCTCTTACCCCGACTTGACTTGACGGGCCTGCGATCGTCATCGTGCACGGGACTCCCTCGACACCGCAATCGCCGCAGTTCAACTTATTAAATGTCAGATATGATATATCAATGATATATTTGCTGACGCTGCGATGGGCTGGCGACCCCCCTCCCTCCCTACCCCGCCTACCGCCCGAGGAAAGGCTCCGGCACACCCCGCGACCCTCCTGAGGAGAAACCGATCAGAAAACGGATCGTGAGCGGGCTCGGAAGCGGGCGCGGTTCTCACCCTCCGTCGTCCGGGCTTCGCCGCGCCGGCTCTTCACGCCGATGTCGCCCCTTGGCGCGGCGATCTCCAGCTCGTACTCGCGCGCGTCGTCGCCGAGGCGCCGGAGCTCGGCCCTGCGCCGGCACAGCTCCTCCTGCAGCGAGGCGATGTCGTTCTCGCGCTCGGCCGCCGCCTCCTCGGCCGCCTGCTGCAGCAGGAGCGCCTCCTCCCGGGCGGCGCGCAGCTCCTCCCGCGCCTCGGCCAGCTCGCCGGCCTTCTCCTCCTCCTCCAGGCCGTCCATCTCCGCCCGCGCCGAGCGCAGCTGGGCTGCGGGAGGGCGAGTCCGAGTTTAGTGTCGGGCAATCGACGTTCGGATCACTTTTTTAACGCGGAGACAACAAATGTTGCCATTGGATTCCGTTGAGCGGTCGTGACCTCGCCGCGGCCGCCTTTGTTGAGGCGGACGGCGGCCTGACTCGGCGCGACGGTGTTTGTTTGTCTCTGTGCGTGCCCTGCGACTGCCCGGCGAGCGGTTCAGGGTGTCGCCCTGCTGACGTCGCGCCCGTCAGTGATTCCTCCCTCTCTCGGCCAACACTTGCGCTGAGGCGTTCGGCGTTTTGGAAATGCGACAAGGCGGCTATTGTCAAGTCGAACGCGCCTTCTTCGAGCGCACCTTGCAGATTCTGGATCTGTCGAGTGAAGGCTTCGGCCTGATGGGCGCTGGCCAGACGTTCGTCCTCCAACAGTCCTGCAGGGAGGAGACCAGTGGGGGGGGGGCAATGGGAAAAGAGATAAGAGCAAAACGTCAATTGAGCAGACGGACAGAAAGATGGCAACCGGATGAGGCGTTTGCCCCTGAAGCAAAACTGAGGCACCAAAGCAAGTTTTTGCGCCACGCGCATGTTTCTCAAACTCCGACACGAGGCGAGTGAGCGTTTTCTGCAGTTCCCCACAGTCGAGATGATCGAAGCGGAATGTGACGCGCTCCCGCCTGCTAACTCCAGCAACGATGTCGATGGGAACATTCGTCTGCACCGAACGAGATTCGCTCCAGTCGTCAGCGCTCGAGCCGTTTGGATTTGAGAGGCAAAAGCCATCCAACCAAATTGTCTTTTTTCTTTTTTGGGGTTGTAATTTTGCCAGTGCTCACCGAGTGATGTTGAGATCGTTCCTGAGCCACTGAAATCTGAAATGGGTTGAACACATCAACCTTGGAAATCTCCATTTGAATCGGCGCTTTTCTATTTCCAAGGCCCCACTTCCCAGCTCGAGTGCAAAGTCGGTAAAGGTGCGTCACTGGCAGCACAACTAACTGCCCTGGAAGCAGGGAAACCCGACCCCCCTCCCCACACCCTCCCCCACTGCACCTGATGTCACTCCCCGACAATGTTCCCTGAGGAACCCCGCCAGTTGGCGACGCGGAACAGCTGAGCTGTCCCAACGGGAACTCTGGAAGCTTCTCTTGAGCGTGCGCAGTTGTTCCAGGAATGCGCTGCTGACACACACACATACACACACACGCACACACACACGTGCGCCGCATGACGCACACACTCGTGAGATGGCCGCAGGTCGTTACTCAGAAGGCCTTGCTGCGGCCGCTCGGGGGCCTCGAAAAGATGACATCCGGGATGACATGGAGATGACGTGTGGGAGTTTGTTGGAGGGAGCAACAGGAAGCGTTGAGCTCATCCTCTTGCTTTTAATACGACGGCGCGCGGGAGGCCAAACGATACGACGCTCACCTCCAGGTGGTGTTTTTCGTTGGTTGTCATTTCTGTCAGATTCCAGCGGCTCCTCCGGCCGGCACGGCGGCCGCGCGGATGCTTAGCGACTCGTCTTACGACGTCAACTATGACACGCCTGGATCACGTTGTACTTTGTTCAACGTCGCGGTCACAAGAGGATGGAATCGAATGGAACCTTTGGCCACCGGGGGGCGGTAGCATGCAGACGCAGACGGACGAAGAAGCCTTTCCCGAGTGTCCGGGACAGGAGCCGGCGTGTACGCGAGCTGCGAGTTTTGCCTTCCAATTTGCGTGGTGACAGAGCTTTTTGGGAACCAGGATCGACTTTTCAATCGAATGCTGTTTCTCGGCTTGTATCGCCAGTCGGGTCACTGGGACCGTTCGCTCGGGCGATACGAACGACGCTTTGTTTTCTGGGTGTGCGGGAGCGACCGACAAACAGCCTCGGAATTCAACGCTTGATGAGGGCGAGAGGGTTTGAAATGAGCGGGGGGGGTCAAAGTATCTCCCCCCCCCCACCCCCCAAAAGAATGGCTTCTGCTCGGAGCCCGAGGGCCCGGCCGTCTGTCAAGCCAGAGGGCGGCACCCGCCGGGTCGGACGGCGGCGGCCGGTTCTCACCTTGCAGCTCCAGGAAGCTGCGGCGGTGCTTCCCGGACGCCTCCCTGGCCCGGTCCAGCTCCAGCAGCAGCTGCGGGACTTGAGCCCTCAGCTCGTCCAGTTGCTGCTCGTCGCCGTCCCGCCCCGTCGGCTGGCGCTCCGTCTCCACCTTCTCGCGGCGGCGGCGGTGGTGGTGGTCCTTCCCCTCGAAGGCGACGCGCTCCGCGGCGAGGCCGCTGTCCGCTTTGAGCCCGCTCAGATCATCTGGAGGAGACACCAAAGCGCTCAGATGCGGGCGCGCAAAAGCGGGCCCCGCCGTCGTGATTCCAATCAAGAGCACCCTGCTCTTGATTGGAATCCACGAGGGCGCCTTTGAATTCTCTTTCTACGGCAGCAGCACCCATTTGAAGATTCAAAGTACGGCCGGCCACCTTTTCACCTTTTAACCGCTTGTCATCTTTGGCTTATGTTGAAAAAAAAAGGAGGTGCAAGATTGCACTCCCGATGCCTGCTTTCAAATCGAGGAAGTGAGAAAAGTGCGATTGTCGGATTGAGGCGCGGCGCAAGCCCGCCAAGAATTTGGAACCAAGTCTCCGCCGGGGACGACTCTGCGACTTGCCAGCGCTGCTCGGAAGACGCAAACGGCGCCCTGCGGGGACTTTTCCGTCCAGCAGGTGGCGGCAGGGGGCTGAGAATGCGGAGGGGGGGGGCGGCAAGCCGAAGTCATGATGATGACTCAACACTCAGCAATGCAGCAGCAACCCGGGGCGACCAGTCACAGAAGATGTGAGAAACGCGTCTCGCGCATGTCGCTCGAGGCAAACCGACCTCGACCGAAACAACATCACCATTCTTCTTTTTTTTTTTTTTTTAAGCCTCATTCAACTCATGAAGTCGTCTGGGAATTCCAAATGTTGAAATGTTCCCTTTGAAAAGCGAGCGCTTCCACGCTGCGTGTCACCTTTGCTCAAGGCATTTGTTCACGACGAGAGCCTCCCAAATGTGCTCTTTTCTTGTTTCCGCACGACATATTTCAGACGTCGTCGTTCAATCTTTCCTCGCCTCGGTGAATCGTTGGGATGTTTTCGAAAGGAGCGCATTCACGTGCACTTCATTTGCAAATCGCTTTTTTTTTTTTTTAATCGACGGAACTATTTTACCGTGACAATACGTTTGCATATTTTACAAGCATCGATGACTTCTTATCGTTTGGAAATCGGTTTCTTCTCAATTCATCGGGAAAAAAAAATCAAATTTTCGATGGAATCGTTCCGTCAGGGGAAAAATGGATCGCAATTTCCTGACTGCAATCAGCCTTCATTTTTTTTTTGCATTCACGTAACTCCCAAAATGCTCGATGAAAATCCGGCGAAGCGAAAAAAAACCCAACCAATCTGGCAACATCGCCTCGGCCGGTTCGTTTGTTCCAAGCGGCCGGAGTTGAAATCAAACAATCAATGAGACACGATGAACGTGAGTGACAAAACAATGCTGATGAGAACGATTCATCGCGGAGCTGCAAGAAGTCTCGACCATACCTGCGAGCGGCGCGCGGCGATACGGCCCGGCCCGTCTCCCGTTTCAAACGCAAAGTGGCCCCGGAGCGCGACGGAGAGCAAAGCCTCGCGCGCGCCCCTCCCACATCGCGATAGGTGACGTCGCGCGCAGCTGTCGCGCGCTCGGGAGTAAAGGAAAAGCGGAGGCCAGATGGGCGTGAGGACGGGAAAAAAATACAAAACAAAAAATCATTGGCGAGCGCTGCAGGAAAACAAAACAAAACGAGACGAGACGCCAGGCTTTGTTGTCAGCGAGCCCAAGGGAGCAAACTGGCTTCGCTTGTCAGCAAACCGGAGGGACCGGCGGGGCAAAAGCGGAGCCGCTCCTTCCCTGGCGACGGCGCCGAAGCGCCGGCTTCGATTTGCCCTCCGAGTCCATTGGCAAGAACGGCAAACATCTTGCTGGAATAAGCGCCCTCCGTACGTTACAAAAGCGAAAAGACCCCAAAATGTGCGTGGTCCCCCCGTGGCTTTTCTCCGGGTATTCCGCTTTCCTCCCACATTCCAAAAACATGCACGGCAGGCTGATTGAACGCTCCAAAATTTGTCCCGAGGTGCGAGTGTGAGCGCGGAGGACCGTTGGGCCGGCAACCGGTTCCGCCAAAGGCGGCCGGGAGAGCGACCCTTGCGAGGAGAGGCGGAGCAGGAAGTGGACGGATGCACGGGTAGCAGTTTTCGCCACGTTTTCGCTTGGGCTTGAGCGGACGTGGCGCTTGTCCTGTCAGAGGATAAAGAACAGCCGGCCGTGAGGATTTGCCGTGTCGTCGGGCTGCAGTTGCTGCGCGCTTGCTTTCCGTCGATGCTTTCCGTCGGCCCATCGGCGGCGTGTCCCCGAAAGTGAACGCCCTCCGCGTTCGTCGCCGTCAATTCTTCTGTTTTAGTCCGGTCGGTGCGTTTTCAATGCCTCGAACTGTTCAGCGGTTTGCGGCGTCACTCACGCCGACCCGCTTCGCGTCGCGGTCACTGTCGCCCTTTGCGCTTTGCTTTTTCCAGCCGACGCAATCTTGCGGCAGCCTCGGAAGAGCGGCGGGGGCGCCGGCGCGCAAGAGCTTCTCTTTGGGTTTCAGGGCTGACGTCGGAAGCGCGGCGAGGACCGAGGAGAGCCGCGCCTCATCCGAAGCCGGCCTCACGGGCGGCGTCTCGGCTCAGCCGATTCTTGCTCGTCGTGATTTGGCGGCCGCCCGGCGCCAAGCGCCACCTTTTGGCGGGATGTCATCATTTCACGTCGGCTCGCCCTATCATTCCTGTTTCCCCGCAGCGGCTGGCGCGAGGAGGCGCCCGGTGTCTTCAGGAACGCCGCGAGGATCGAGCGCAGGGGAGACGGCGTGACGACGCCAGGAAGCTGATTGAAGATCGAGCCGACGACTTTAGCCCTACTTTGGAACCTGAAGCCTTCACATCACATCAAGGCCTCCTTCCGCTTGTTTGAAAGACGGGAGGGGCCCCAAAAACAGGATTCCATTTCTTCCGATCCTTCTTCGGTTTTCGGACCGGAGCGATGGGATGATTCGGACGCACTCGTGCTCCGAAGAAAGAAGCGGATGACGTCAGTCCCATATGCGCTGCCTTTGAGGGAGGGAGGGGAAAGCCCCCAAAAAGGCGGGGAGGCCTCCGGGGCCCCGAAGGCTCCTTCTCGTCCGCCTCGCCTCCGCGAGAAGCTCGCAGCCGTGATGCGTCCAACTCTGCCGCTGCGCCCTGCGAAAAATGGCCGCCTTTCTTCATCACCCGCGCTCGCTCGGACGCGACGTCGAGGGGAAGAGATGAAGAGTTAGCGAGGCCGAGCACGTCGCGAGCCGGCAGATTCCTCCCCCGTCTTGCGCACGCAAGGCAATCCAAAGCCTTCCACGCCGTCGTGTTGTTCGCGGCGGCTCATTTTTGGGGCTTTTTGCTTTTGTGTTGCGCACACAGGAAGAGGAAGCCACGCGCTCGACGAGGTCGCTGACTTTTCCGCGCCACCGACCCTCCGACGAAACGTGCTGCGGGTAAACACGCAGTCAAAGACACGTCCCGCAAAAAGAACGCTGCCCCAAAAATATCGCTCACCCCGTTGCCGACGATTGCGAGCTTGTTGGGAAACGATTTTTGCCGCATGATGGTTTGGGACGTTTCCTTACTTTCGGGGACCGTTTGTGTTTTGTTTTGCTTTGCTTTTTCAGCCGCTGGTGAACGACAGCAACGGCAAAGATTTCGTGCGCATTTCAGCACCGCCGTCAATCGATCAAGCGAAAGCATCCCCGGCGGGCCGAGGAGCACGTTCATCTCGGAAGCTTCCGAATGAAGGTCACCGGATGAAGCCAGCATTCGCGTCGCCCTGCGACCAAAAATGCTGAAAGAGCAACGGCGGCGTGCAAGTGAGCCGAGCCGGACGAGCGCCGCTTTGGGGCCTCTTCTCCTTTGGCCCGCCGCGGGAAGTTCCGCTGGAAACAGGCGGCCGGTTTTGCCCCCCCCTGCCAGCGCACCATCAAACGGCTTTGAAAACAACCAAGGACCCCGAGCGCACTTGCTAACCGAGCCCAGACGCTGCCCGCGCGCATCCTGACGCCAGGTGCCCGCCCGCTCGCCCGACCATCCTTCCCTCCCCTCCCGGCTCAAAATAGTCACCGGCGCAGCATCGCGACGTGCGCGCGCGCGCGCACACGCCCGCGCGGAGGCTGACGAAAGGCGAGCGCACAGACCTGCGGCGTCCGAGGCCTCCTCGAGGAGCGGAGGGAAGCGCGCGGCGTCCATCGCGGCGTCGAGAAGGCGAACGACGGCCGCGAGCGTCCGCCGCCGCGCCCCGAGAGACGAATGAGCAGCGTGGGAGCCGCGGCGAGAGAGGCGAGGGGGGAGGGAGCGGCGGGGGCTTGCAAATTCCGGCTTCTTGCTTTCTCTCGCTCGTTCGCTCTCGCTCTCGCTCCCGCTCTCGCGCGAACCCTCCCAGCTTGAGCGGGGTTTTTTTCTGTCTCCTATTTTTACCGGCCGTTGTCTATTGTGATGCAGCAAGGCACCGATTCCGAATATCATCGCCAGCCGGCTGGCTTCCCGATGTCGATTTTTCAGCTCACTGCACTTTATTTTCCCAAAGACTTTTTGACTTTTATTGACAGAAGCGACTGCCGTCACACCAAGACACCAAAAAAGGTTCAACGGGATGTCGTGGCCCAAGTTTCGCCTTTCTTCTTCTCATGCGGAAGTGACCTTTGGCCCACGCATTCGCCTCAACCGGGGCTGTCAAAGTCATTTTTGGCGCGGGCCACATTTTCGGGACCGTTTCGCTTGGAGGGCCGATATGACTGAAACCATAGAAAGAAGTCAAGAATAACTGTTGATTCAACAGCTGAAGTTCCCGTCATGAGGGGTTTGGGAACAAGAAAATGCTTCGACGACATCTCTTATTGATCACATATGAGAATTTAAAACGCTGCTGCACGTGTTAGAAAGGATCATGGAAGTTGACATCTTTGAGCTGCTTTCGCGGGCCACACGAAATGATGTGGCGGGCCCCACCTGGCATTTAGCCCACAGGCGGCAAACTTCAGTTTGCCGCCTGTGGGCTAAACAAGATGGTATCGGTATGCGTGTCTCTTCGTTTTCACTCTTCTTCAAGACTGGGTAGGAAGCATGTCGCTTCCTACCCAGGCACAGCATAAAACCAAAAGAGCCCTGATGCAAAACAAACCACATTTCGACTTCTTCCGCGACACCCCATCTTCGATTCTCTCAGCGCGTGTTTTCGGGCGCTCGCAACCTACAAGCCAAAAGGGCTTTGAACTGCAATCGTGACTTCCAGAGTAGGCCGGCCAGAGTCGTCATGCACATTGGTGATCCCCCCCCCCAAAAAAAAGAAAAAGTGCGCTGCAAAGAGTAGATTCGTATTTGAGCGCTGTCAGTCAGCAGGAAGTGCTTTGCGCACACACGCCACCGCATCAGAAAGGGGAAATGTCTCCCCCGCCAAAACTCAGTTTGCACCTTGAGATAAAAGTCACATTGGGGCTTCTTTTGGGCGCCGACAGAGGTGGCAAAAGTACTCACACAGTCAACTTCCGTTTTTTTTTTTTTTGTCTAACAAAAAAAAAGAAGCGCTGACTGCACTCCAAGAAAAGTCCACCGAGCGACCTCGGATGGAATCAAGACTCTCTCTCGGCACTTTTTGACTTCAGTCAAAGAGTTGAATCACGACTTCCGCTTTTACCGAAGTAAAAAGCTCCTCAAAGTACCCCCCCCACCCCCTCTCCAAACTTAAGAGGGAGGAGAGCAACGTGTGAAACAAACATAAAAGTACCGATTCGACTCCTTCACTGAAAGAAAAATGAAAAAGTAGTCACAGCATGTACGGGACTAGAAATGCGGAAACTAAAACAAAAATGAGAACTTTTGTAGGAGAGGAATCCCGCCCCCCAAAAAAAAAAACAATCATTCTTAAGTAATAATGAAAAAATGAAATGGCCAGTTGTGACAATTTTTCCTCACCAAATGACATCTTTATTATTGTGAAATGAAAAACAGAGTTTTCCATAGGGAGGAGCGCGTGCACGGTATCATTGTCGGATGTTTTGGATCGCTTCGGTGTCGCGGGTCTGCACCAAAAGGACCCAAATGCAAAGCCACCCTGTCCAATTTCAATCTCGCGAATCTCATTTCCTGCGTGTCTTTTTGGCCATTGCGGTCGATGCGTCCCGCATGCTCGGAGAATGTTGGCGCACGTGACGGCTTTGGCCAGCAAAACGAGGTCAGCTCCCACCGAGTCACGTCACCGAAGGGAAAAAAACAAACAAAGAAACACAAAGAAGAGACATTTTTTCTCCGCCGCTCGCACACCAGCGTCTTTGTTTTGTCCAAATTGTCCAAGTCGGGGGCAGGACGCCCGCAGTCCGCCGCAGGAATGCCGAGCGTGGAACACAAAACGCTCGCCTGTTTTCGCTTCTTTTTTTTTTTTTTTTTTTTTTGCTATTTTTCAGGGCGTCGCGAACTCCGGACCCCACGGCAAACTCGCCCGTGACGCTTTGGCGGACGACCTGAACAAATGTCCTGGGGACGATTCTCCAAATCGGCCTGAAACGAAACGAAAAGACCTCTCCCGCCGGCGTTTGGTCAGGAAAGCGACCGTCAGACAAACAAGGAAGTGCGCCGCCATACGTCTTCGACCACGACTGCAGCTGAGATGCCGCGATCGGGGTCGGATCCTTGCAGAAGATAAGGAAAATACCATTTGTGTCTTCAACTATCCCAAAAGCGCGAGCGTCTGCACTTCCGCTTGGCATGTCAAAGTCATTTTGCCTTGTCGCTTGGCTGCGAGCCAAGCGGACTTTCCCGAGGCCAAAAGCCGTGCGGTCGCTTGAAATACACAGCGGGTCATCGTCCCGCTTTCATGGCGAGTTGGACAGGACTCTCGCATTGGTCACAAGCGGTCGGGAGCCTCCGTTGGGAAGAATTGTTCACCGTTTGCCGAACCGCTGCTTCGACGTGCGGCGCTCGTATCGCTCAAGTTTACAATGCGTACAAAAAAAGCATCCAAATGATGTCCCGTATTGCGAAAAAAAAAAGGTAAATCGGCTCACTTGTATCTCAAGCGCGTCAACATAAATTAGCATCCACTTCCAAGCAAAAACAGCCTCCCTTTTTTTTTTTTTTTTGTTATTGGAAATAAAACCAAAAAGGGATCATCGACAGCTGGCATTTGACCAGAGCTGTTAAGATTTTTTTTTTTGATTGCCGGTGACGTCGTGGAAGCGGCCGAGGCTGCTGTTGCCTAGCGACTGCAAGAACTCCAGGGTGCCTTTGAATTCGGGCGCTCCCCCCCCCCCCCCTCCAAATACTTCACTTCGGCTGGTAAAATAGAAGTCGTGATTGCGCAATCCTCTGCCGTTGTCGTCCCGTAACAGCGAACACGTCCTCATTCCTTGCACTCAATACAAGTCCAAAGTAGAAGAACCAAATCCTACCCTGAGGTGAAGTGAAATCTCTTTTTTGGAGACAAAGTACGAATACAAAGTGACCCCCCTTGTTCCGAGCAAATCCTCCTCAACTTGGAATTGGATCGATGAGGCACGTGGACTGATATCTCCGGAGGAGGGCAAAGCAAGCGAAACTTGAACCTTAACCCGGAAGACTTTTTTGCGCGAAGCAAAAGATGTTGTCATGGGAGCTTCCATCCATCCCCGTCCGCGGCGTTGACTCGAAAGGACAATGATTATTGAAAGAAAGCAGACTTTACATTTGTTTGATTTTGCGTCAAGCAAAACAGGAAAAAAAACACGACGGATGCCGAGACCGACTGCGTATTTGGCAATGAATAGTACTCGGCCATTTGTTTTTGTTTTTCTAAGGCCGACCGCGATCTGGGCTTGATTCTTGTTACGCTTGCGCCCTCTGGCGGGCATTCTGGTGACGGCACAGGAGTCCCCCGAGGGTCCTTTTGTCATCCGCTGGGGTGCGAGGGCCGCTCCGCGGAAAGCAGCCGACTCGGACGCCCCTGCTGCCGCCCGTTCCGCCAAGTTGGTCGGGGGCGCCGATCCGTCCAAAAGCGTCAAACCAAGCGCAACCCAACCGGAAGACAAACTCCGTCGACGCTGATTAAAAAGGCTTTCATTCAGGGGCGTCGAACGCGGGCCCCAAGGAGGTTCGATCAGGCCCGCGGGATCATTTAAAAGTGAAAAAAGGCATCAAAGACACGGAAGGAATATTTTGAATACGATGCAATTCGTGGAGTATCCGCTAGGCGGACACACTGTTTTGATCACAGTAGAAGACAACACTGTGTTGATGACAGAAGAAGACAACGGCAGCCCCAGTCTGTCACTGAGACAGACTCAACACAGCAGACGCTGTCAACGATATGTGAATACTTTATTCTTGACACATTTAATAGCACTCTCCTTAGTTTGGAAGGTGTAGGCAGGGATTACATTTAGATTTTCTACGCGCACGTGTTAATGGTTTTAAAATTCCTTTCTTTATAAATCTCGTTTCATCTTTTTTCATATTTTTCAATACTTGTTCAAAGTTCTGTGCCTTTGTACAATCAGTGGGATCAGTTGCAATGCATAGATGTGAATGAGAAAAGTCAATTGCACAGTTGTCGAAGGAAATTTTAAGGCGTTTCATGAAATGTTTTGTAAAAGATATGTTCATTAAATGTCAACATTTTCCTAATGTTCCTTCTGGAATGTGCCCCCCCCCGCTCCACCCCACCCCTTTCAAGGAGGGAAGGAAGTTTTAAAAACAACACGTAACAACATTCTCACAGTAATGATCCTTCTTCAACCGGAAGTCAGCGATGAGCCTCCACAAGGAGGCCGTTCTGTGTTTCGGCTGGCTGGAATGGCCAAAGGGGGCGGGGCCTTGGGATGCAATTTAAGTCATTTGGGGGCCAATACGGGAGCGTCCGCGCGCGCAAAATCTGCACAAGCACATGTAAGATCCACAAACAAGGGCCCGAGCCGGGATTCGAACAACGAACCTCACAAGGTGTGAGGCGTGAAATGATTTCCGATGTACTTTTGGCATCCGTGCAGGAAGTTGGTCCATTTTATTTATTTTTTTTAAATATGTGCAAATTTTACAGTGAGAGAAAGGACACTTCATCAGGTACCCGTGTGCAAATTAGAACGTATCAAAAATGACTTTTACGGTGACAATACCGATAAAGAAGGCTCGCTTCACATTTTTGGGGCGGCCGAGGATTGATCCCTGGGGAACTCCCATTTTCTCGCTTTCGATCCGATCGGCCTTGATCGCTTCCCGCTTCCAAGATGGTCCAAAGAAAGCCGCGCTTGCGCCACTCTTGCTCGGATTCCGCGGCTCCGAGACACGCCTCCATTTGGCTTCTCGGCAGTCCTTGGCCGCATAAGGCGGCGCACTCGGATGAGGCGCAAGGATGACGTCGCACAACGGCGACTGGCATTGCGTTTGCGTACGCGAGTGGTGGCAACCG